CAAAGCTCGATTCTGACACCTATTTCGCCCAGAACAAAACTTGATTCTGGAGCATATTTTGTCTTGGACAAAGCTCGATTTTGATGCCTATTTCTTCCTGGATAAAGCTTGATTCTAATGCCTATTTTATCCTGGGTATAGCTCGAATCTAGCACCTATTTTATTCTGTACAAAACTCGATTCTGGCTCCTCTTTTGTCCTGGGCAAAGCTCCATTCTGGCTCCTCTTTTGTCCTGGGCAAAGCTCGATTCTGGCGTTTATTTCGCCCTGGACAAAACTCGATTCTGGCACCTATTTCGCTGTGGACGAAACTCGATTCCAGCGTCTATTTCGTCCTGGACAAAGCTCGATTCTGATGCTTCCTTCTTCTAATATATTCAGCATAACATAATATTTCAGTATTACACAACCTTGACTTTAGTGTACCATTCAAATAGAAGAATCGACAAAAGTCAATTTTTAGTGAATAGGTCACAAAAAAGAATAAAAGAAATTTGTCAGTTCTGCAACCGCCTCTGCCTCTTCGACTGATACATTGCCATATGAAGGATTTTCTTTAGAATAGAACAAACAACCAAAAGAAGAAGAAGACTTTTCGCAATAGCAATCACAACAACAATAAAAGAACCAACAACAACAAGCCTAACAATTAATTGTTATTGCGCAGCCGTATAACGTTGTCGGTCCGGATCTGAACGTTTAACATCGTTTTAGCAGACGTTAGAGCAAAGCGCGATTTATGTTTATCGCGCGACGTCGCTTTTTACACACAAGCCGACTTCGTTATTATTGTTTTCGCACAATAAATCAACCGGTTGCGTTCGCGTTCGTCGGTTGGTTGGCTGCATTGTCGGGGACCGTTATATGTGAGAGAAATAGAAAAAGTCTTAGAAGGTCCATTAGATAAACTCGAAATCTAGTAGGTAGTACCAAGGTACAACTGGGAGACCAGACACGAACTTCCTGGCCGTAGTGCAATGATTTACTCATATTTAGTTTATTTATATGCGATCCTCAATTATTATGCTACCATTATAGAACATTAGACAAGTAATTTTAAATATCCTACATTACATTCGTATATGACGTAATATCAGGGACGTACTAAGGACGCTAAGCTAATACTTTATGTGAAACTGAGGTTCTCCAATCATAAAATATTAGTCGTCGGCCTGAGTACACGCCTTCTATGTGCGAACAGGCGCTCATACCCTTAATCATCATCATCATCATCGTCATCTTTACTATCATCATCATCATCATCATCCCCATCATAGGGTCGTCAGTCCTAAGCCTAATTGGACACGCACCTCCACTCTTTCCTATCCTGAGCTAATCTTTGCATTTCCCCAAAACTGGAAAACTCATCCTAAACAGTAGTCTACCTCTACTCTTCTTAACTCCTGTTTCTTCTCCTAACTAGCCGTTCATGTCCGAGAAGGTGTCTTACCAACCTATCTTGTCTATTTCGTTTTACTCATAGCGCCCTCATTTCTAACCTTCTGTATCAATTTCCACGTTTTCCACCATAAACAGAATCCCTTTCGAATTTCTAAATTAACCGTTCTCTTTGTATGCGATTTAACCCTGTGCTTTTATATTTCTACTGCTTCTTCCGTCCTGAATTATTACGGTAATTGGTCCATTTAGAGCTATTGCGATGAAAAAATCATTTTAATTAATTAATTTTAATAATCATTAGAAACAACGAAGCAACCAAGAACCGAAGTGAATGAAAGATCAAAATCGGTGAAGTACCTATACGTATAAAATAAAATTTGTTGTGCGCAAGTCATACTTAATATAATTGCGCCGGTTAAATACCAGCAGCTATCGGTAAGAATGGGTGCCGCTGCAACCCCGTTGCGGCTACCGCGATAAAAGCGATAGACTTCCGAGGCCGACTGCGACTACCGCGCGCGATATTCCTCGACGTATCTAAATATTAGTATCGCGACCGATATCTTGATCGGTCCGTCCGATTATAAAAAAGACCGCGGCCTGCTACGACTTAACGCAGCGGACCGCGGCACAATCGAACGAGCCTGGGAACGAGACTTCTCTACCCATGATTATGACCACGAGATATGCATGCGTATTGTGTATGGGCGCTTCGAATAGGATAAAAATATAAATATTTGGCACATTATTAGGTTCCTGGACAGCGATTTACCGAAAACATACCATCAGATTTGGATTGTTATTTCGAATCTATTAACTCACATCAGCACAACTTGCTAGTTTTGATAAGACACCTACTAAGTCGAAGTTGCTTCGTTCAAGCGAAACTTCATTAGTTTTAAGTAACTCGTAGTCTAAGTAACTAACTAATTTGGATATTACTTATACTAACCAGCAGTTATGCGTAATATCCACCCATTTAGATAAAGTCATTATTGATTATTATGACACAATGAATCAATTAATCTAACAATTTGACAAAAAACTTTGATAAAGTAATGAATCAATAAAATAGAGTCTGTTTTATATTGCAGGGATAGATCAAATTAAGAAGGGGCCACGGATATATTCCAAAGTGGAATTAAATCAGAAAAAGAGGGCATTAACAAGCAACAATTAAAAAAAAAATGGAGCAACCATGACTTTGTTTGGCGGATAATGTCAATAATGGTTGTACTAGATCTTTGTCGTTGATGTTCCTTTTCGAATTTCATTCGACAGTAGTCAAAATACATCATGTTCATATAATATGTGTAATCGGAATGTAATCACAATGTCTAAAATTTCGCATTCCATTTAAAAAAATACCTCCAATTACCACCTATATAAAATGATATTTAAATATTGAGGGGTTTCGCACCCTTAATTATCGTACTGGGAATGACTTTTAGAGTTTACACCCAATAAAAAACTATCTCGTAGGCATAATCCTATTTTAAATGATATCTAAAGCTAACATACAAGAAATTATTGTGGGGCAAGAAGAAGAACCACTGAAGTCTACTAACTTTATACTGAGGGGTTACACACCCTTTAAATAACCCTCAGACCCGCTGACAAACTCTCTAATAGGAATTATCGTATTTAAAATGACTGTTAGAGAGTAGATACAAAAAATAAATGGGAGACAAGAATAACTTTCCTTGTAAAACAATAATTTAATATTGAAGAGTGCGCATTTATAGCACCCCATAACTCACCCTTAGACCGGCTGACAAACTATCTCGTAGGCATAATCCTATTTTAAATGATATAATAAGCTAACATACAAGAAATTATTGTGAGGCAAGAAAACCATCCACTAAAATATAAAAAATTTCTACTAAGGGGTTGTATACCTTTTAAATAACCCTCAGACCCGCTGACGAGCTTTTTAATAGACATTATCGTATTTAGAATGGCTGATGGAGAGTAGATATAAAAAATAAATGTGGGAGAAGAACAATAACTTAATATTGAACACTAGGCACTTATAGTCCCCCATAACTAACCCTTAAACCGGCTGGCAAACTATCTCGTAGGCATAATCCTATTTTGAATGATATCTAAAGCTAACATACAAGAAATTATTGTGGGACAAGAAGAAGAACCACTGAATTCTACTACTTTATACTGAGGGGTTACACACCCTTTAAATAACCCTCAGACCCGCTGACAAACTCTCTAATAGGAATTATCGTATTTAAAATGACTGTTAGAGAGTAGATACAAAAAATAAATGGGAGACAAGAATAACTTTCCTTGTAAAACAATAATTTAATATTGAAGAGTGCGCATTTATAGCACCCCATAACTCACCCTTAGACCGGCTGACAAACTATCTCGTAGGCATAATCCTATTTTAAATGATATAATAAGCTAACATACAAGAAATTATTGTGAGGCAAGAAAACCATCCACTAAAATATAAAAAATTTCTACTAAGGGGTTGTATACCTTTTAAATAACCCTCAGACCCGCTGACGAGCTTTTTAATAGACATTATCGTATTTAGAATGGCTGATGGAGAGTAGATATAAAAAATAAATGTGGGAGACGAACAATAACTTAATATTGAACAGTAGGCACTTATAGTCCCCCATAACTAACCCTTAAACCGGCTGACAAACTATCTCGTAGGCATAATCCTATTTTGAATGATATCTAAAGCTAACATACAAGAAATTATTGTGGGACAAGAAAAACAACCACTGAAATCTACTAACTTTATACTGAGGGGTTACACACCCTTTAAATAACCCTTCGACCCGCTGACAAACTCTCTGATAGGCATCGTCGTATTAAGAACGACTATTAGAGATTAGATACAAAAAATGAAAGTTGTACAAGAACAACTTCCCCTGTAAAAAAACAACTTAATGTTGAAGGGTGGGTCCATATAGCACCCCATAACTAACCCTTGGACCAACTGACAAACTATCTCATGGGCATAATCCTACCTTAAACGGTATTAAAAGCTAACATGCGAAAAATTATTGTGGAACATTATCTTCACTGAAATGTAGTAATTTAATGTTTAGGGGTTTCGCACCCTATCGATAATCCTCAGACCCGCTGCCAAATCGCTTTTTAGGCATTTTCCTACCTAAAATCTCTTTTGATATAAGATATAAAAAGTAATTGTGCGGCAAGAACAACTTTTCCTGGAAAATAGTAAAATTCAATACTGGATGGTTTCGCACCCTATAAGTAACCTTTAGACCTTCTGACAAATTGTTTCACTGTTGTAATATTAATGTCCCTTACAGCTTATAACCATATTTACTGCTAAAAGCATGTTTACTAATACTTTTACATTTTGCATCGCTGGTGAAGAGTAACAAGTTAATCGATAAATAATAATCGATAATTTAATCGATGCATCAATCTAGACAGAAAATGATAAATAATCTAACAATTATCTTGCCTGTTAGAATCCTGTCCATACTCTTTTAAAATAAGAAATACCTTTATTGTCTGTACCAGGTATTCAGAAACAAGGAATTTATTTAAAAAATGTAAAAATACAAACAATGACATATTAGGAATTAAAAACTTACCAACTCGTTGCCTTCCTAATGACGAGAGTCCTGCAAGTCCTTAAACGACAAAAACTCCTGGACCTCCTCAACATCTGAAACAATATTTACATTGTAATAATACATGTATGTATAAAGAGTAAAAAAGGGAATCAGTAGGCTACTAGAATATTCCAAAGCTAACCTAACAATACCGTTCGAAATAAATCGTCTACTTTATTATATTAATACCTATTTAATTTCACCAAAAAATGATTTCAACATATAGCTAATACATTAATAAAGTGAATAGGTATACCTGCAAATATTAATTTGAATAATAATTACAAATATATTCACTTCACTCAGGCGTACATCCACACTAAATCACTACATCATCCACAATGAGCAAAACCAACATCCGTGTGCACCAATTTTGCGGAGATTTTTTGGCACAGGCCGCTTGCAAGGGCCACTATGTTCAAATCAATTAACCCTTTTTAATTAACATATTACATATTATTATACCTGCATTACCACTTAGTACGATACTTATTAACCCTCTTTTGCACAAAAAGGCCGTAGAACGACGAAATGACCCTTATTTTAGTCCTTTTTTAATTATAAAACTCACTAATAATCATCGTCAAGTCGGCGTTTTCCACGATTTTCTCGTTTAGCTTCGTGCAGTAGCTACCGCCTTGTTACAACTCTAGCATGACGTCACATGATAATGAGGATGTATATGCAAATAAAATGTATAAAATATTTTAATTTTAACAATCAATTAATTAATAATTATTGGACTATTATTATCCATACTGATGAACATATAAGAAAAAATTGTAAGGAATGGGTAGCATACGTATTATGCAAATATTTTATAAAATTGTTGCGCGTACATTTATTGCATATAAATAAACATATTACAAAACGTTTATTGGTCTATCACAGCCATATACAGGACAAATACAGGCAGGACCGTAGTAGGAAAATTAAAAGAAGTGTTAGTTAAAGTAATAAATTTCTATTTAATGACTTTTGTTGTTATAATTGTTGTTATTATTATAATTATTCGTGCAGTAAACTAAAAAATTGACAGATACCTAAAGCATTTGGTAAAACATACACATATGCCATTTTTTCATTTCGTAGTTCCATTTTTTGTATCTCATAAATAGCGATTGTAATGTGGCTATAAAAATTCAGTTTACAATTCATGTCCAACTTGGTTTGCTCCTTGCTCCCGACAGAAACATTACACACATTGTAATATTCATTCACGCTGCCGTGTGCATACTTGTTCGATTTTATTTATGCGCAAGTGGATTTTTATAATCGAAGTAGCAATAGGTAGAGCCGCCTTTGATATCTACCAAATGGTTGCCATTATTCCACCGTGAATTTCTCTATTACACATAACACTTTCGAATATATGTACTTATGTAGATATTTGTAACATAAACTTTACGATTTCCTTAAACGCATTTCTACTTACCATTGTTGTTTAGATCTAATTTGTCAATAGCCGCGGCCTACTTTTCTTGGGATGACGTATATATAGTACGTCCCCAATACGTATTATTAGAACAATTATTAAAATTGGTACAGTCGGTTTTAGAACACCCTGTACATGTCTAGAACGGGCTGTAATAATCCATCTTCGTTGACTGCACATTACTTTCCATCATATCGTCGCATTATGCAAAGTTGTCACCGTAGGATACCGTAAATGATCGAGGATCCTGTTTTTGAATTAAAACAACCAAACGAAACGAAAAAAAAAAAAATAAGTCATCACCGGTCGATGTGAACGGTCGAGAGGAAGATTTCTTCGATCAGATTAATTGGAGGTCATGCGATATCTCGACTGAAATTGATCGCCTGTTATCGATATCGAAACCTTACGCGAGTGGAATATTGGACGGGAATATTTTTAACGAAAGGTACACACGTTTAAATATACACATACATATGGATATACACATAATAAAAAATTACTGCATAACAGTATTTTTGCACTTTGTCGAAAATCATCAATTGTACTATTGTTATTAATTAATGTACAGTTTGGACATATAAACCCAATATGACGTTACATTTAGGTTATGATACCTCGCACGACAATAATACTCTATCTTATTCTCATTGTTTGAGTTTTCTTAAACTTTGGATTGATAGAAAAGATGATTTTTGGAAATGTTTGACTTTTGCAGTATAAAAATTAATAAAAAATAAAATAGAAAAATGCAGGATTGAAGTATTTTAAATGTAAAATATATCGTATACGTTCAAATAACACAGATAATGACCCTTGCATTATGATACCACTTTAGATTTACCTTCCAGAAGGTCCTATAACATGTTACTTATCACTATTTATTATTACCTAGCCATTGATGTAATTAAAAAACAAAAAATAAATGTTGCAAAGATTTGGCAAGCTGCCAAACGTCAAATGAACTGCGGGAACGTGATTGGCTCGTAGCACTGCCTTTAACGATTAGCGCAGACGCAGTAAGTAACACGGCGTAACCCATATACATTAATGAAGCGCACAGTTGCCAAGCCGAACGAAAAAACGGTAGTTTCGATTTATTAAACATTTATTGCACATTACCCAAAACGAATGCATGTAATAGAAATATTTACAAACTTACGTACTAAAAATAGATACGAAACATTGTCAGTACAAATTACAAAAAGCTTATAATATATATCATTAAAATTAAAAGAAATTAAATACTTACATACGCACCAATTATTTTCACAAAAGCTAAACGTTATCACAATTGCAAATTATTTGCAGATGAATGTTCTCACAAATATGTATTTTTTTCTGTCGTATTCCACAGTTTCAGAAACTTTATTACGGAGTTCAATTTTTCTTTCCAACCCTCTATGTCCGCTTGGGTATCCGCAGATAAATAATACTCCACCATCTTGTAGTATCCCATGTGCATGTTGTTTTTCACCAGAGGCGTCGAAATCGTCGATGTTTTGTACGTCAACTTTTCATCTTCAACCTCCAAATGCAGAGTCCTCGGTCTCGGACACTCGCATCTGTTCGCATAGTCCACAGGATTCGTCAGGATTTTCCTCATATCCAAAGCGATAACCGGAGGATTAATGTGTTCATCTGTAGGATAATTCCAGAACTTTAGGTTGTGTCCCTTTATCTTGCACCACATTCTGTTCCACACTATATTATTGTTCTTTAGGGTTCCCACGGTTAAGAAACCGCTGCGGTTTGCGCTGATGTCCATCTTGGTGATTGTAAATTTGAGGTCAGTCGTTCCGGTCAAAGGCGAACTTCTTGGCAGTTTGTCCAATTTCCATACGCCCTTTTTTAAGTCACCAATTTGCACCTGAAGACTTCCGCAACATACGAACGAGGACGATGGAATTTCAGTCTCCACAATGTTGTAGGAATACGAGTCCTTGTAAAGGACACGTCGAGGGGGCGTACAGCACGATCGAACTTTCTAAAATAGGAAAATATTAATATAATGTTATATAGTATGTATGGGATAGTGATTATAAAATTGTCATGTGTTTCGATCACCACATTTTGCAGAAAATCTCGTAAACGGCGCAACCTACAATAAAAGTGTATAGAATCTTTCTGATAGACAATTACATTTGCTTTCTTTTTTGTTTATAATTTTTTCTTATAAAATCAATATTGTAGAAATTACTGCCCCGCCACTCGCAAAAATTGCTTGTGACGCGTTATAATTTTAGAGAAAAAACTTCTATATAAAAAGGAAAGAGAAAATAATTGTCTTTCAAAAAGATCCTAACAATTTTTATTGCAGGATTAATCGTTTACGAAATATTTTGGGTACTTAATTATGGGACGCTCGGTTCACATTGATGGTATAATGTATTTTCTTAAGTATTAATTTTAGAGAGAAAAGTCTCAAAGAGAAAAGGTAGACAATTTAATTGTCTATCAAAAAGTTCCTTAACATTTTTTTCCTACGATGCAGCGTTAATGAAATATTGAACACTTTATTACGACTTGTAATGATAATGATCTTTAGTGATTCAAACAGCTTTAAAACAATTAATTACTTACATTGAAACCGAATTTTCCGTAACTCTTCTTCAATTTAAACAAGTAAACGTTCACTTTCAGTATAAACTCGGTATTGAGACCATCGAAAGCGAACGTTTGTCGGAATGTGATCGACTTTTGTCCAGGTTGCGCCTCCACCGTTTCGGTGGCGTAAACGGTCGACCCTTGCGAACAAATACAAACGAAGTAAAAGTTGTGACTGTCGTCGATGGCGTTATTTTCCAGATTGAAGTTCAATCCAGATATTGACAATGATGCCGTGTGACGATCCTCATTTTGTGTCACATTCTCGTATTGATTCTGGCGAATCTCTTGCAAAATGGCCTCATGAGTATAACCTAAAATAAGGTATTCATAAGTACAAATACGACTTTTATTCATCAAGCAATAACTTACTAGAGATGAGGAGTATTTTTTCGGCAACAAGTTCGCCAGGAGCTGGCTGGTGATTGTTCTTTTTCCTCAGGATTTTCAATGCCGAAGATGCTTGTTTCATTATATGACCCTGAACGTCTGCCTTTTGCTTAAGTTCTGGGAAAAGATCGGGGTTGTTCTTGTGGCTGCCGTTTTCCGAAAATCCCGAATCTGTTGACGCAGTAATGTCCAAAACTGCATATTCCTAGAAAACAGAAAGGGATTAAATAAAATACCCAAATATAAAAAGAAAAACCTATTGACTTACGTTAACTTCATTATTTTCCTGAATTTCTCGACACAAGATTTCCTTATTGAAATTTTCGTCAAAAGTTTTCACCGGTAACCTGTCATCGCGGACTTTATTTTGACATCTTTTAGGAGAAACGATTACACCTTCGTTATTATCCTCAGTGTCATTCGCGCCCTTATTATTTTTCATGGGTACAGAATAAATAGCATCTTCGTCTTCCATAGCATTATTGTTAACTTCTGGCATTCTGCTTTCGTACAAATTTACGACAAATTTCTTTGTTATTTCGCGTTTTGTACTTCGTAAAGAATTTCTACGAATGAAGTTGGATTTCTTGTTAGAAACGTTCGGCCGACACGACTTTGATAAAGTTGAGTGTCTCATGAAATTGTCTTTCTGCTGTTCAACCAAAAATTCGCTAACGTTATAATATGTTCTTTCCTGGTTTGATTCGTTTAAGTCCTCAATGGCTGTATAAAAGTTTGTTTCTTCGTCAAAAATAATGGGACTGTCATAGCTTGGATGTTCGCTAGCTGTTGATAAGAAATCACCGTACGAAACAGAAGAATGATTGGAAGAATTTAAACCAGTGTTAGTTTTTGGATGGACGGCGACAATTCTCGGTTTTTCCGGAGATTGAAGGGTGTACAGTTTTGCTCTCAAAGGAGTAGAGGTTGCATTTCTTCTAATATTTTCATCTAAAACAGTAAACCATCAGTACTAACCAACTGTTTTTTATACTGGTGTTTGAATAAATAATCCAATTGAAGATAATCCTATTTTAGTTCAAATAAATTTACAGTCTCAGACATGAAAAACATAATATAAGCAGAAATAGGAACTAAGTTTTAGGGAAATGCGAAGAAGATTATCTCAAAATAAGAAAGAGTGGAGATGAATGTCTTAGGACTGACGACCTTATGATGATTTTAAATGAAAATTAATTAATCAAATTTTATGTACTTTCATCATTAATCTTTTAAATATGTAATAAAGAAACCAACAATAAATGTGCTCAGGATCAGATGCTGCAGAGTCATTAGCAAAGGATATTTATTAATTAATAAAATGGCATTTTAATTATCAAAGTAAAAGATTAGCACAAAATTAGCTGATAATATTATTAACCATTAAAAATTCATTACCTTAAAATCCATTAACTACTTACGGTACACATATGGATATTAGTATCAAAACTGAGAAAATTGAAAAAGAAAAAAGGATGTATTATGTATCGCAAGTAAACTGTACTTAAATGATTGAAATTAAATGGGAGTGTCAAACACAAACAAAAATAAGTAGTACACAAATTTATGATTACATCAAAAATTCAAATATTTCATTCGTATCATGGTCATTGATTTAGATAATTCGTAAAAAGACTTACCAATTTTTTGAAGCCCACTCTGTCTTTCAAAAGTATGAATCAGTTTCTTCAAAATGCGCGATCTCTTTGAATCACAGTTGGTTTCGTTAATCCACTAAAAAATAAACACAAAAGAACAATTACATAACGTCGACAGTACCCACTACGATACAACGACACGTAGAAATAAATTCACGAAATACTTTCAATGATAGCAAAACAGACGTTCTTTTGCAAATATGAGCAGTACGACGCCTTACGCTACTCGTTAGTACGTACTATTATTATTTTATCATAATTAAACAATAACAAACAAATTTTATTATCAAAAATGCAAATATATATTAGTTTACTTACTTTCTTAATGTTGCATGTCCATCGCTGATCGTGATCCATTTTGGCTTTTATCGATACAATGAAACACTAATAGCACGTAAACACACACACACGCACACTTGTAATTTATTTATTACTTTTACCGGCTTTATTTAAATATATCTCAAAAATATTATGTTTGTCCACTGGCGTCAGTAAATTGATTAGAAAATTACCAACTGGTCATATTTATTTATATCCGCTGGCTATCAGTGAACCTGGGAGGGTAGGGGGTGGTTTTTAAATTTAAACACAAGTGTAATATGTATTTGTGTATATGTATATACGTTCATGTTGTATATAATGCAAAGACTTGGTAAGTACGTGTCACGATTTAGGGTGTAGGGGTAATTAAAACCTTAAACCTGTATTATTTAAATGTCATTTAGGAATTACTACTTATTACACCCCGCTGTGAAGACACATAACTTGGGGTTGTAAACCCCTAAACATGTACTAGTTAGCAAATGATGTTCTAGAAAAATTAATTTATAATGTATCATCAGAGATGTGATTTATTTGAAATACATGCATTTAAAATGTAAATATACAACATGAAATTTCTTTTGCATTTAAATACTTTTATGAAAAAAGCATTTTGTATTTTATTTAAAATACTATTCCAAACGTATTTTCTATTTGTAAAATGCAAAATAGATTTTTGTCGNAAGTACATTTTCATGGGTACGGGATCAAAAAAATTTACAATTATTATTCACAGTATGTCAAAAAATTATTGCTTTGAGGAATTCTCCATCGAAGCAAAACGTTGGCGAAATGTCAGTAAAATCGTTTTTACCTGAATCAGTTTAGAATTGTATTCTTCCCAACTTAAAATTTCTATTTTTGTTTTCTTTGTCAAAAGAAAACCACTTTCTATTATTTATTAGAAAGAAAACGGTACAAAGACCGCTACCACCAAAAGCAGAATAGAGTAGAGAGAGAGAGAGTGAAGAGGTTACGTGGTAAATATTGATTACGAAGATCGAAGAGGCACGTACAGAATCCGAAATTAATGGTGTCTGAAAGACTTTTTGCAGCTAGATAAGATCCGCAAGAGGCATAGCATAAATATTTCATAGTGTTGAAAAGGATGGCCGGAAAGTCGGGCAGTTTTTCGGCCCTCACAAAACCGGCCCACTGTCCAACTTGCAGACGAAACAGATAAATACATCGCGACTATACACAAGCCGCCCCCTTACCCCTCGCCATGCCATACACCCCACGAGCTTTCGCGACCAAAGACCGCATCTGCCAATGCAGTACGGATTTGTCGCAAAATTCTGCACGGGTGCAACAAGGTCAACGAACAAACTACTTATATATAATGTCTTCTGATTGGATCAATTATTATTAAGACATGTTCTTTATGGTCTCTTGATCAATTTGTTAACGCCCTACTGTTTCGTGAATTAACTAAGGGTGTCTAATTGCTTTTTACAAATTAACCAGTTGAAAACAAAAATTGTTAGATAAAGAGAAGATAGTTTTCTATATTTAAAAAAAAATTGAACGAGTATTAATATAGTTGGGACGATCACAACTGACAAAGACCGCAGTAAATTATCTGTGAGAATGGATGTATCTTCTTTCTTGTTTCAGCTTCGGACTGTAGTTTTAAAATTGCCCTACTTAAGTTAGGAAATGCTTTATGAGTAGTACAGATAAAGTGAAAAAAAATAACCGAATAATAGTGTAGCGAGCACGAGTGTGTTTGTGTGCGATCAGTGTAATCTATATTGGACCTTTTTAAAATAATTCGTTTCATAATAACATATGCAATTAAAAATGGTCAGAACAATACACACTATATTCAAGTATTCAAATAATTTTATAATTTTTACAAGCACTTCTGATTATTGATTGTTATTTATTTATTTATTTCAGTAATTGTTTTGTATCACCCATTACCCGATTTCTTTAATGATTCTCTAGTTTTTTGTTTGGTTAGATCGATTATGTCAACTTTTGCAAAGATAAAACTTAATTTTATATCACCTTGTACCATGTAGTAATTTCCTGTTAGTGAAGTTAATTTCACATGAAAATATTGTTTATTATATTTGTACTTGTATTAACTTCTTAGTATCTAGAATGGCGTTCAGGTCACAAGAATTTAATGTGGTAAATCCACTACCATATATCATTCCCTTTTCAGAAATTTATTAGAGCCAAACAATTAGTTTCGCATGTGCAATAATAAAATCACGTACCCCTTTAACATAGATATTACTTTATCTTTGAGGGTAATTCCTGTGTTTATAAATTATTATTTTATCTTACACAAGAGCAACGACAAAAACATTTAATTATTTTAACAATTTCACCTACCTTTTTAATGTCTTTTTTCATACAGCAACTGTTACAAGGCTGGGGATGAAAATATCTTGTCCCTGTAACAATAGGATATTTGTTGTTAGTCATTCGATAAATCAATTTTCAAATTAAAAATATAACGAAAATGAGACAGAATATAAATTGCATTCCTTGATGTGAAACAACAAATGTAGTAAGTAGTTTTTGTTTTCACTTTAAAAATTTCTTTGAAATGTTTCAATTCTTTTTCTCCAACTAATTTTACAAAAAGTATACCCTGCATTTTATTTAGATATTACTCTTTGTAAATAATATGACTTAGTTTAATCCGACTGTTTTTTTGCTTCATTTAATTTTTATTAATTACTAGCTGACCCGGCAGACTTCGTAATGCCTCAATCGATAAATAAAAGACCTAAACTTTTGTATAAAATAAACTTAAAACAAACAAAAGGAATCCATAATTAATAAAAAAAAATTAATTTGTGACAAATAAGCTGAAAGATAGTTAACAACTTTCATATTTATTCACCTTTTAAACCTTCTCTGGACTTCCATAAATAATTCAAGACCAAAATTAGCCAAATCGG